TTGCAAGTATAAACATTCTAATAAGATCCTAAAATTATAAAAAATTCCACATATATTTTTTAATTTATGAAAATTGAATAATTACTATTTTTTTTATGATAATTATATTATCAATGATAATAATAGTAATGATAAATGTACATGAGAAAATAATAACATATAGTATACCTTTTATATAATTAAATATTTTGATTACATATGTAACAATATATATAATGATATTTATATTAATAGCATTGTTTAAAAAATATCATTTGTTAAATATAATAATGGATTACACACATTATTATAGAAAGAAACGTGATTATATGTAGAAGAAAATATAAAAATAAGCATACACTTAATTGTAATTATTGTAACCTAATAGATTGTGTAAATAAAATTATCTAAATTAAAAATTATCCTCGTCATAATTATATATAAAACATACACTGCATTATATATATATTTTAATTTTTTCAATAATAATTGTTTATAATTAAAATTATATGAATTATAATAAGAAATTATAAACAATATAAAAAAAATGTAAACGAAAATACAAATCTAATAATTTACACATATGTATGTTACATAGGGTATATTTTAATGCTGAAAAAATAAAATCATAAAAATTCCTAAAAAATATGAATATAGCATTTTAAATTTAACATTATTAAATATATATGTTAAATATTATATTATTATTATATCATTACATTCAGTAATAAAATTATATTAATATATAAAATATGTTAAATTATATATTCATTATAAGGTTTAATAATATAAGATATGTATACTTGCTTTTTAGTATAGTTATAAATTGTTAAATATGTACATATACAAAAATAGTATAATATCATGTATCATATTACCTATAATTACTTTTTTCATAATAATTATTCAATAATACCTTATATAATTAGAATAAATGATAATGGAAAAAAGAAACAATGTAAATATTAAATTTATATGCTAAAATAGATACAATACAAAAGATTGATTCAATTTAGAAATATCAATAAAAAAGAAGCAGGTAAAATCAATTGAAATAAAATTTTTTAAATATATAATAATTAATTAGAATATATATTACAATTATTTATGAAGAAATATATAACAATGCTTATATTAATATATTATTATTTCATGAAATATTTCATTAAATACTTTTTAAAGAATATAACTAAAGTGTAAATATATAATTTAACAAATATCAACAGAATAACAAGTACAATCAATATAGGAAATTATTTATTCTGATTTTACATTATGCTACGATTGTATATGTAAAATTATAATTTTTTTTAAGTTTCAATGTATATATATTTTATTTATTTCTGACATCAAAAAATAATAATATGTAGCTATATATATTGTATCTTGCCTTTTTTTCTATTATAATCATGGATTTGCATTATGAATATTTTTGTCATGTAACCATACGAAAAAAAACGATTAGTTAATTGGTTTCATTTATGATTTTTCTATTGTGCGTAAATTTTTTTATTTTTCGCATTTATTTTATGTATATTCATAGAAAATATTAAATATGAAAATCACATTTATATAATAGAGTTCATCGTTATTCATTAGAAAAGTATCATAATAATTATAATGGTTTTTTTTATAATGAAAAAAAATATTCTATAGTATTCATGAAAATTACAAACAGCTTAATTTAATAAAATACATATAATGTGCATAAAATATATTCTATTATTATTTAAGGAATTAGAATTAAAAAAAAGAGAAATATACATCCGTATAATACATCATTGTCTTTATCTTTTAATACAACTATTTTCATTATAAAACTTATGCTTATTTATACTACATATAAATTTTTGTTATATTTTTTGCTTGATTCAGTTTTATATGCACACATGATTTAAAATAATAATATATTTATCTAATATAACTTATTATATACTTAATATACCTAAAATGGAATATAATAAGTATATATTTAAAATAAATTATGTTGGAAAAGCTTGAATTAAAATTCTAAATTATTCAGATATAGTCTTGTGCTTATGATTATTTTTTTCTTAATTATTTAATAATATATGAAACATTTCATAGTACTTTATAAATATGTTTTTTCTTGGATATAATTATATATATCTATATTTAATGTAAAAAATATATATAAATAAGATATTTATGTAATAGAATTTAACGTTATAATCATATATACTCATATATATTCATATTTAACTTGCATAAGTTTTGCTGTATATTTAGTATGAGTTAAGTTAATTTTTGTAAAATTCACAAAATATTGATTCATTGAAGATATTACTTTAACATAAACAATTGTATTACCTATTACATACTAATCTAATAGAGTTTCTATATTTCTAATATTCTTTTTAATATAATAAATTAATAATCATAAAAAATTAATTTAAGTGAATAATATAATAAATTTCATTATTATGGAACAATTAAAGTTAAATATTCTTATTACATTGGATTTATTCTTTTTCTATATTCTAAGAATACCGCATCAATTAAAATTTAATTTTTGTATTACTCTAGAATATGGATATCAATGATAAAATAAAACTCACAGTGTATTTTTCATTATATAATGGATAATTATCTTTATTTAAACTGCATTATTGTTATATTAATGTATTATATGGTATATTTTCATGTATACCTTGTATAATTTTTCACTTTAATTAATTGTTTAATATTAAATGTGTTAAACATATGTAAACTATAAATATTTATTGTAAACTAGAAAAAGTTATTATTTGTAAAAATTATATCAGGAAACATTGAATATAATATGCTTTATTCAGTTATATGTATACACTAGTTTTTATTTATTTTTTAACATTGTGAATTACCATAATATTATATACAGTAATATATAGAATTGCCATACCTTATGTAAATGTGTTTAATTCACCCTAAGAGCTTCAAAAACATAAATGAACGATTTCTGAAAATTTTCATGGTGTAATTCTCATATATTTACACTATTATTAATATTATGCATATTTATATAAGCTAACGTATGTGAAAAATAATATATAATAGAAAGACAATATTAAGAGGTAAATGTGTCTAAAATTTTGATAATATTTATCATATATAACTAGGTATTATTGAAAATGTTGCATATTCTATTTAATATATAATCATATATTTTCGCCATTTGTGTAAATCTATGAACACTATATAATTTTTTTTTGAATTTTAAATAAATAAATTTAAATAAATTGCAAAAATTTATAGGATTTACAATCATTTTTTAATTTTAAAAAATATAATTAAGGTATATTTTTTCATGACACCGTATTATTCGTTATAATATGATTTTTCATGTATAACAATTTTGATAGTCTGTTACAGCTACTACAGTATAATTTTTATAACTAATACACACACATACACTTATATATATGTAGGTGTATACCTTAGAATTATATTTATATTGATATGCACGTCATTTCATATATACATACGTAATTGTATATTTTTCGTAATTATATAAACATATATAATTATTCGTATTATTTATGTTTTACTATTTTATTATTATTATTTCTTCAATTATAATATAGATATAAATTATTATCTTATAATAAAATAAAAGTAATTATTCTGCATTTTAAATATAATAAATATATTAATGCATTATCATTTAAAAAAAAATTAAATAACACTAAATGTATACATTATTGTTAAAATATACAATTAATAATTTAAATTCATATACACATACGATGTTTTAGTAATTATGTATTCTATTAAAAATTCTTTTAAATATTATCATAAATTTTATTACATGTACAAAATTGAGAATAAAAAGTATTTTATGTGTATTCAAAGAATACTACTATGAAAGCTAATTTTTAATCTTATATATTTGTATAAATAAAATTTATTTTTATTAATATATTATAAAACATAAAGTTCTTATATTTTATTTAATGTTACATTTATGAACACATTATATATGTATTGATTGCTTTTTTCTAATATTTTGTTTTATGAAGGAATAAGTGGGTTGCATTTCTGTATATATGTTATAAAAGAATTTGCATTATTAATAAGAAATATAATTCTACATTTTATTTAATATTTTATAATCAGTTTTATTTTAATATAATGTTCCATGGACATAAATTATTAATTGGATAATTTTTCACTAAAAGTATACATATGTTATATACAGTATACTATTTCTATGTAGTATTATGAGGTTATAAAAAATATATGTTTGATTTATTTTCATTTAATAGAAGATTATTCTCATTTAAAGTGTAATTTTAAGAAGTAATATATGAAATATATTAATATTGGATATAAAGATAAATTCTGGAAAAAAGAAAAATGAAATCATAAAATAAGTTTGCGAAGAAAGTTGTAAAAAAAAAAAAAACTGGAAAAAGCATATAAAAGAAAATATATTTTATAATTTTTTTTTCTCGTACTAATGTAACTCACATATAATGTAATTTCACTTAATAAAACCATAAATATAATGGTATATATTGAAATAAGTATTAAAAAATGCTATGTCAGTTATATGAAAAATTACAAATATAATTTTTAAAGCGCACATTATATAAATAGATATATACTTTAAATATAATTATACAATAAATTAACAATATATATATTTAAAATGTGTGTACGAAATATATTTACCTATTATTTGTATTCATGGTTTACATATACAGGTACTATAACAACATATATATTATTTACATAATTGTAGATTATCTTATATGTTAAAAACTTTCCTTATTCTAAATCTATAGAATACTAAAGCGATAAATAAGGAATATATTCATGTTCTAATTATTCACAATTTATACAAATAGTGAATAATATAGTGTGTATTTTTTTTTAATACATTTGAAAACATACCATTATTAAATACAGTATTCAATAATTATATTTGTTTTATATTATTATGAGACTCATTATCTATGTTTATGCCTTACAATTTATTTTATATATTTTGAACTGAATGTACTTTTTAATTTATTTATTCAATGATAAAATGCATCCAAGTTATATAATACATTATAATCCCTATTATTTGAAATAATATTAGCTATTTCAGGCTGATACACATGAGCTCTTTTATTATCTAAATTATTCAATGTACTCTTAATTCTTTCAATTCTATTTAGTAGGTATGAACCAAATGGGGTTAACTAATTCATAATAAGAAATATGCATATATATAATATATAAATATTTTAGTCTATACTTTCTTATTTTTTTAAAAATATTTTTATAAATTTTTCTATAGTGTAAATATACATAAAAAAAATATTGTTAACCTTATACAAAATAAATAACAAAATTAACACTACTAACGTAAGTACTACTGTAATTACTATGATAACTGCTATATTATTATTAGAAATAAGCAACTGTTCTTTTTCAATAGTTGTGAAGATTTGAATTTCCTTTGGTGGAACATATTTATCTTTAATATCATTATATTCAGCACAAAAATCATTATACTCCTTAGACTCGCAATCATATTTTTTAATATATTCAAGACTATTATACATGTTATATAAAACTGTAAGCATTTTTATATCACTATCGGTTATATTTTTATACTGAAAATCCTTGCATATATTGGCATCACTATAACCAGTTGCCATAATTGATGTTTTATAATATTTTCCTGTAGAACTACTCTTATTTAAATTCTCTAGATATTTATATAACCAATAATACAAAAATAAACAATCAGCATCTGTGGATTTATTTTCTCCTTCTTTATTGTGTATATATGATATATATGACATAACTTGTGTGCAATCTTGTATACTCGAATACATAACATCATGATGTGTCTTTGATGGATTTTTATGAATACATTTATGTAATGCATTATTAATAACTCTATATTTTTCTATTTCCGCTTCACAGGATGGAAAATATTTTACGAGGTTATACTAATATTAAAAAAAAAAAAAAATTCAGTATGATGGCTTATATAGTTACCTAAACAATTATTATGGAATTTATGGAAAAAGGAAAATAAAATTTTTTTATTTATGCAATATAGAAAAATATGTGTACTCTTATATTATCCATATTAGACAACACTATATTATTTTATACGTGAACTAATTAAAATAATAATGTTTTTTATAAATACCGTTAAGTAAATATTAAAATAAATACATGTAATATATATAGGATATATATCATAAATTCTTATAATTATACAATTAATATAAAATTATTATGGACTCATTTAACCATTAATTTTATTACATTTTAAATATAATGGCAATATATTATACAGTATATTCTATTTTTATAACTGTTTTGAAAATTTATGTACAAGCATATTTATATAGAAAAAAATAAAAAATGTATCTGGCAAAAATATATTACTAAAGTTATCTTGATTTATAATAATTATATAATTTTCCACAGAGATAAGAGAAAATTAAATAATTACTGATAAAATAAGCTATTAAATCGATTATGCATACATATTATCTTTCTTTCTTTTTTTTTTTCATAATTATATATGTAATATAATATAAAAAATATAAAATATTAGAAAAAAACATTCACGTTTTATTAATAGAGATAATCATATATAATAAAAGATTGAAGATTAATAATATAAATTAACAGAATTTATTTAAATTATATCTAAAAGGAAAATCTGTATGCTGTAATAATTTAATAATATATAATATTAAATATGAATTCGTTATTTAATGTAAATAAATGTACATATATTCATGATAGATTTACTGTATAATTAGAGCTACTTTTAGAAGAATTGTAATGATATAATTTCTACCATCATATAAATGAATTGTAAAATTTAGAATTATGTACTTTGATCATTATATAATAGAAATTATAATATACTGTCATTTATTTTGTAAAATAATTTAAAAGTGTAACAAAATATATACACCATACATTGTAAATCATATATTTTAGATTCTAATGAATTTATTTACTTTTCTGAGGTTATATTATTTTTAGTGATAAATTATTTTGTATCTTTTGGTACAAGTTATTTGTTCCTTGAGTATTACGTCTTTTGTAATTTTATTTAATTAACATGTCAAATTAATTTATCATAATATTTATAATATAATAACTCAATAAAATACATTAAGCAAATAAAAAGGAATATTGATGTTGAAATCTATATTTCATCTACATATTCTAATAGATGTTATTATGAGATTGTATAATTTATTATTTTCATTCCTTATTTAGAAGTGGATGCATATATAATATGTTTTTAACCGTCATAAATTTAAGGCGCAAAATTGCAATAATTTACCTAAAAATGTGTTTTATATGTTTTAAGGTATTATTTGAATAAATAATTTCTTTATTTTTTTAATTATAAAATAATATAAATCACTTTGTATGTATTTCATATAGAAATTATCTATATTTAACAAGAAATGTGATTATTATTTTTCTTATGTACAACTAGTATATGTTTCGTATATTAAAACAGTAATAATAAGTAAAATATCCTGGGTTCTTAGCATGGAATTTATATCTGTTACTAATTTAAGTTTTTGAATTGCAAGCAATATATATTTTATTAATTTTATATTCCCTTATATATAAATGCTTCTAAAAAACCATGAAAACACTGTCCTAATAAATTGAAAAAAAGAAAAATTTTGTATTTTTATGTGAATATATTATACAAATAATTTTAGCTTTTTTACACATTATACATAAAACATAAGTAAAAAAGTAGAATAAAAATATATAATTTGTATAACTGAACCATATGTTATATATAATTTTATTTGAAACAAAATGTATTTTGAAAAAGTACATTAAAAATATAAAAACTACAAAATTGTTTTATAATGATTTTAACTACATCCGAATGCTAATTAATCTTCAGAATATTAAAATATTTTAATATACTCATTTTAAAATATTATCCTAATGGAATAATAATGATAACATAGCTTTTACTAATTTAAACAATATTTTATTATATACAACTAATATTAAATTTTATTATTCAGCAATATGTCATATAGATTTATAGGGTTATCGCATTTTCTTATATAATTCAACATTTTAATAAATAATATACGTCTATTGTTTATTATTTATAAATTCTTGTCCAAAGAATAAATAGAATATATTGCTTTTATTTAAAATAGATATAATTAAATATTCATTAAAAGAAAATTTGAAAATTTACAAACCACTATTCTAATATATTAGTACATGTTATACATAAATGCATAAAAAAATTACTACATCAAATGTTTAAAAAGGAAGGAGAACATAATTAACTTTATTAATTTAATTTTACATTATAATGGATTAATAAAAAATTAAAAGATTTGTGATAATTTTATCTACAAATATAACGAATTTCTTATGCACTAAAAAAATGTATATGTAATAAAAATTTCGTGCAGAATATAAAAAATCAAATAGCATCGAACAAATAAGAAAATAATGTGAAATTAAAATGTGCTACAAAATATTATTATTAAAAACTATGTATATATATTATAGCATTGTTGTATGGTATTTTATTTAGAATAAATAAATAATTTATAATTCGTTATTTAGTTCTTTATTTATTAGCCGCAGTAGAATAATTAGTTTAGATATATTGGGTAATTCTTGCAATTTTATGTATATATAATTTAAACAAATTAAAATTTTCCTCTATCATTTATATGTTTTAATGCACAAAACATATTTACATGATGATTCTGTAGTATTATATATATATTAATTTCTATGATTTTATTTATTAATTAATGCAACACTATAAAAATAATAATAGGAAAGGAACACGATGATAATGGAAATCATATATTTAATAATATATTAATGAATTATGTTTTAACGCTTAATGAACAGTTAAATATATGAATTTAAATAATAAGAACAATAACATACTTCATGCTTCAATAAGAACACTTGAGAATGTAATAAGGAATTATGAATTAAATAAAATCAGAAAATTTATTGCTGTAAAAATATATTCCTTAAATAGTCATAATTAAAATAAAATATATAAATTGTAAACTTATTTTTTGATAATCTATATTATTAATAGCAGATGTATGTTCTCTACGCACTGAAATTCTTTAAATGTATTTTATTATACCTTTTCCTTCTAATTCGATAAATATTTAAGAATAAATATGTTCAGGTTTATGATTTCATATATTCTGTATTTATTTAGTATGATTTACATGTTTTCGTAGTAATTAACTATAATCATTTTTCATTTTTACTAATTTTTTTATGTATAATTACTTTGAATTATTTAACGCTTCGTGCATATAGGAAAATTGTCTATGTAACTTATATAAAAAACATATTTTTATTTGCATTTTATTTAAAAGGAATATAATAATTTAATCATTATCTGTGTTCATTTAAATATAAAAAATGGGATTAATTATTATGAAAAATTAAGAAGTATATACTATTATATATATTAGATGTTAACATATTTTTAATTTAATGCAATCTTAATGTATCTAACCAAAAAAAAATTATGAATGCTTGTTGAAATTGTAATTTAGAACTCTTTGATAATTAGTTCTTATTTTATTAGATTTGTGTTAAAAATAACATATTTTTCTTTGCCTATTTGCATTAAATTAGCCTATTATTTAATATCAACTACCAACGTAAATATGTTCAGATATATTAATTATATTATATGCACATATTTATTGAGCAGATGAATTTTTGCATTTATATAAGAGAGTAAATTTTAATGACCAATATATATTATATAGTCATATATAATTTATTCTATTTATGTGGAAGCATAATATCATTTGAAAAGATAGAAAGATAATATATTAAATGTTGTAAATATATTTAACGCATTTTTACAATTATATATATATGTTTATAATGAAACTATATTGGAACGCACTTATTCGTAAAGAATAGTTGTTCTGTATTTTATTTTCATCTATATATTGTATTATAATCACAATCTTAACAGGGCATTATATAAATTTTTAATATATTGTGAATTAAATAAAAATAAAAAAAGAGAAAAAATTGGATAAAATAAAGTGTATGTTTTAAGATAAATAAAATATGTCAAATAAATCGTTTTTTTTATATTTTCTATTCCTCTTTATCCTATTAGAAAATATATGCAACAAAATTGCAACGACTTGTATCATTAATATGGTGATAATTAACGTACATTATATCTACGCGAATAACAAAATTTACAAATATAATTATAACTTAGGAAACTAATAAAATATAGGCGAAAATGTTATAAACTCTAATTAACTGATCATAAGTATTGAATGAAAAAAAAGCATGATACATAGATTAATAATACCTATATAGAATTTTCAAATAATTTAATAAAATAAAATTTTCCTTTGTAATGTTTATCTATACTATGTAATATATTATTATTTATGAAATTCTGTTTTATGAAGAAAAAATATATTATTAATCTAAAATAATACATTTTTAAATAAAGAAATGATTGAAATTAATTTGTAATGTTTTTTTTTTTATTTATTCTCAAAAAACATAATTCATGGCTACTATCTGATTACTTATTTTAAAGCACAGCTTTTTTAAATAAATGAATTCATCATTATATCCTTCCTTACATTATTATACAATATATTTCACTTTCAGATTATATCAATAGAGGAATCATTCTAAATATAATTTGAATGAATCTTTTTACGTAATATTTAAAAGAAATATTTATTTTGATTTATATATAATGAAGAAAAATTATCCAGAATATTGTAATATCTTATATGTACTATTACATAATCCGCTTTAGGATATATTACATTATTCAAACACATTGCATTCGACATAATATTTTTACATTTATTTCAAGTGCTTATTTTTTCACGATACAAGAATAGTTTACATGGAGAAAACTAATTCAAAATAAAAAAAAATTTTGAACTATATATGTAATTTATTTATGATAAATTTGATTTTTCTTTATTCATAAATACTATTTTATAGTATATATATAATAGTGTAGTTAGCTTTGTACATAATATATAAAACAAGGGATATCGGGAATATTACAAGAACTGAAATTGTAATAATAACTGAGGTGTTATTTACACAAGAAACTAATTTGTGTTATATATGAGCTTCAATATCCTGGATTTTTGATTAACATAATACTATTCTCTAAGATCTTCTAATGATTTACA